GTATAATATTATCAAATGGTTTCGTACATAATCAGGCAGACAAATATATTTACTCTAAGTTTACAGTAGATTATGGAGTTGTTATTTGTCTTTATGTCGACGACATGTTGATTTTTGGTACGAACATGCTTGGAATTTTCGAAACTAAGAAGTATCTAACTTCACTCTTTAAAATGAAAGATTTGAATGAAGTAGATACTATCTTAGGTATCAAGGTTCAAAGAACTGATAAGAGAGTGACTTTATCACAAACTTATTACATTGATAAGATTCTTACCAAGCTCAGTCACCCGGGCATAGTGGAGTCTAAATTAAACTCCATATGATTCAAGTATCAAACTAACTGAAAATACTGGAAGAACAGTGGCTCAATTAAAGTATGCAAGTGCAATTGGCAGTTTGATGTATGTTATGCACTGCACTAGGCCTGATATAGCATTTGCCGTTTGTAAACTTTCAAGGTTTACAAGTAATCCTAGTAATACTCACCGGAAAGCTATAATTAGAATACTTGGATATTTAAAGAGAACAAAACAATTGGGCATTTGTTATAATGATTTTTCTACTGTATTAGAAGGATATTCTGATGCGAGTTGGGTTACAGATATACATGATAGTAAGGCTACTTCAGGTTGGATATTTACCTTGGGGGGTGGCGCCATTAGTTGGGCATCCAAGAAGCAAACTTGCATTTTTCATTCTACTATGGAATCCGAATTTATTACATTAGCAGCTGCCGGAAAAGAAGCAGAATGGCTAAGAAATATGTTACTAGATATAAAGTTGTGGCCACAACCTATGCCAGCCATTTCAATATTTTGTGATAGTGAGACTACTATGTGTATAGCTCACAATAAAAAATATATAATGGGAAATCAAGACATATAAGCTTAAGGCATGCTTATATAAGAGAATTAGTTACAAATGGAACTATAGCTATAGTGTATGTGAGATCAAACAAGAATTTGGCAGATCCACTAACAAAGGCATTAAATAGAGATGCAGTACATCAAACTAGTGAAGGAATGGGGCTAAAACTCTTAAATTAACATAAGTGATTGGAACCCAACTTTGAGTTAGTATACAATCTAACAATATAAGTTCAATGGATAATAACAAGTTGCTTGTGTTGATTAAGCACGAATCTTCTCAATTAGAGCCTAGATTCCTATGTACTGTTTACTCTTATGTGAGGAGTTTAGGAGTTGTTAAATGTCTGTAATAACAGGGGCATAATGACAAACTTCCTAGTGCATACTGTTACAAGAAAGAGAGTGAATTAATTCTTAATGAAATTAGCAAATGTCTGTAGTAACATGGACATAAAGTCTATTTCCACCTATATGAATATTGAGGTGGTGCCGCTTCTAACAAGATTTAAGGAGTTGATCTTGTATATATTCATGAATTTGGATTAGCACATGGCCATAAAAGTGCTAAAGCATAATACTGGATTGTTTCGCTACTTTATAATGTTATGTGTGTGATACTTTCGGTTTGACAATGGAGTTTTGGTTCAAATCTTAGGATACCAATAACTTCGTCAAACTGTAAGGTACTTACACTAATGGAAAGTTCAAATCTATATAAGATACTTTTCGGTATGCATGATATTATGAGATATTGCAAACTAGTGGGGGATTGTTAGAGTAGTTTGTAAATATGTGGAAGTCCCACATCGATGGCTTTGTAAATATGTGGGAGTCCCACATTGATGGCCACAAGCCATTTAGTTGGCTTTTATCTTATTTTCGTATTTTATTTTGGAACAACTTTTTGCTATTTAAAATTAAAATTTAAAATTAAAATTTTGAATTAACAGAAAAATTGTGGCTATTCGTGAAAAGGGGCAACTCTTCAGAAAAAAGTTTCCTTTTCTTATCTATAAATACGGAAGACATCCAGAAGTAGCGAATTTAATCTGCACGTATGTTTGAGGCTTTGTTGTATCCTGATAGAGAATTGCTTGTAATCCCTAAGTATATACAGACAATAACTCTTGAAAGATAGTGATCTTTCACGCCTCAAAGTCTTTAATTGTCCGTTACTTACCTATTTTTTCTAACAATTAGTAGAGAATAACTTTAAATATAACTAGCTGATATGTATAAGTATGACAAAAAAATTCTCCAAATTAAGAAGGGAGACCATGATATATAAATAGTCAGAATTAATAAGTACTCATTTAGTCATTTATTGTAAGACGATGTACTTCAAACAATTCAATAGTGGAAATAATGAAATTTTGGATGAACTAACAGAGATACGCTAAGATTATAATAATAGCACTAATATCTAGAAGTAGATACAACAGTACCAACTGCCGCTTTCATCACATTGGTATTGTATAATATAAGCTCCCCACATTCAATGACGAACAACAGATAGCAACCCAACACCTAACCTCACTTCCCTAGTTCCCTTTTCTTGTTTATAAAACCCATCTCTCTAATCTCTTTTACTTCACCTCTCTCCATCCTCCATACACTCAGAAACAGCAACAAAAAAAGAGCTGAGAAAAATGGTGAACTTGGTAGAAGCTCAGAAACCTTTGTTGCATGGCCTAATGAAAATGGCTGGAATCAAACCTCATAGTATAGAGATAGAACCAGGCACTATTATGAACTTTTGGGTTCCTTCTGAAACCATAAAAAACACAAAGAAAAACAAGAAAATCACCACAACTACTCCTTTTTCCAATAACCAGTGCGCCACTTCCCCTGAAACCACCACAAAACCTGACCCCACCAAACCCGTAGTCGTTCTAGTCCATGGCTTCGCTGGCGAAGGAATTGTCACGTGGCAATTCCAAATTGGCGCATTGACTAAGAAATACTCTGTTTACGTACCGGACCTACTTTTCTTCGGTGGCTCAGTAACCGATTGCGACGATAGATCACCTGGTTTTCAAGCTGAGTGTTTGGCTAAAGGGCTAAGGAAATTGGGTGTGGAAAAGTGCATAGTGGTTGGGTTTAGTTATGGTGGAATGGTGGCGTTTAAGATGGCTGAAATGTATCCTGATTTGGTTGAGGCTTTAGTGATTTCTGGTTCCATATTGGCTATGACTGATTCTATTAGCACTTCGACGCTAAATGGTTTGGGATTCTCTTCTTCTTCTGAGCTGCTGTTGCCTACTTCTGTTAAGGGTCTAAAGGCACTTCTCAAAGTAGCTGCTTATAAGAAACTTTGGTTCCCTGATCGCCTTCACAGGGACTTTCTTGAGGTTAGTAAAATTTAATCTTAACTACTCCTATCTACAAGCTATAGATTATGTCCCTATTTGTTTAATTTTTTCTTACTTATTTCCAACTTAAACTCGTATACGACTTCTAATTCAGTGGGTGAAAACTCATTGTATACAGTATTAGTTTGTAAACTTGTAAATCGTTTGGTTTATACTAAAACATGTGTAATTTACCTTGAAAATTCACATTTTTTCACTTTAGATATGGTCATTATATTCGCCGTGTTGAACATTGGTAAACTTTTACTAAGTTGTGTATGTTAATCACAAGTTCATTTTCGATTGTATAAATTATCGTGGCTTTAATATTCTTCACCTGAATCAGCTAAGTTTAAACAAAATGTTATTTATGGAACACGTTTTCCTTTTTTTCATGGAACTCGTTTTCCTTTTCTTTGCCAACAGAAGTCGAAAAAGGGAAGAAAGAAAAATAGAAAAAGAAAGACAGAGAAGATAATAGAGGAGATTGTAAGCCCATAGAGTCATAATAAATTTTTTTCTTCGATTCATGAATAATTGACTAAATTATTTTCTGGGGTAATCACCTAACCCTTAATATCAAAGATCAGTGGGCCCAATTGTTTAGAGTCCAAATCACGTCCCTTATTATAAATGCAGAAAACCTCGCACCAGTGCATGTTTATATCAAGAGATTGACATACGTGTTATACATCTATTAGCTTTGATATGTGCAGCAATAAGTCTCCAACTTTTTCATAACTTGAAGATATGAAACGTTGATTATATATCTCAGTGCAGATTTGTCCACATTTTCCAGTCCCCACTTATTTAAAAGGAGGCACCACGGTGTTCGCATTGCACAATTTCTGGCTATATATATTACATTAATTCTAACACGGCATTCACCCATATGTTTCATTCTTGACATCAGCGCCAGTTCGCTCAACCAACTACACCCAATAACTTTTCACATATGCCAACGACTTGAATAAGCCAAATGACTGAAAATCCATTTTAGAAGAGTAAATTTGCATAAAATCACTTAGATTCAGATTTTAGACCAGCTAGAGCAAGTCAAATTCGAAGTTTCTTAAACCAAATCTTGGTTGTCTCAAGTTTATTTCGAGAATACCGAAGTAGTAAATTCATAATTTGATGAAATTAGGATTAATGATCTCTAGTCGAGAAGGAATGTTTGTTTTATACAATACTATTTCGCAACAAGTTTTCATCCCCATGTAATTCATATGTAAAGTGTAATAAAGTTCAACCCGAACAAAGGATCTTACTCCACTTAACAATAATGCTACTGATGTCAGGTAATGTTCACCAACAGAAAAGAAAGAGGAGAACTGCTAGAAGGCTTGGTAGTGAGCAACAAAGATACCAATATTCCAAATTTTCCACAGGTAATTGGCATTTCATGAGTTGTACTCTGCAATATTTTACACGGAGAACTTGTACGTGAGTTACTTATCTTTCTTTCCATCTATTAATGTGCCATTTTTTGATAGAGAATACATCTCCTCTGGGGTGAGAATGATCAAATTTTCAATTTGGAGCTTGCTCAGAACATGAAAGAGTAAGTTTACAGGCTTGACATGCTCTTACATACAAACTCAAACATATTTACAAAGAAGTTATTAAGTAGTTTCGCGATGCACCATTTGATATATGGTCCCGGATTTACAATTAACTATTTCATCAATAAATTTAGTAGAAATGCCACAGAGAAGTTGACAAAACCTGATGATGTTTTTTGTGTTACATGATGGCAGTCAACTAGGTGACAAGACTACATTTCATGGCATAGAGAAGGCTGGGCATCTGGTTCACCTAGAGCGACCTTGCGTCTACAACAGGTGTCTCAAGCACTTCCTTACTTCCCTGCATGCAGAAAAAGCCCAAATACTGAAGGACACTACCACAAATTCCACTATCTAATACCATGTAATTTTTGTCTTCTTATAAGAAGGAAAACAACTTCGTATTTCCTCTGTAATATTATTTATATAATTCGGGGTTCAGAATCAAAATTGATGCTTTAACACAGGATACTATAAACGTATATACATATTGCAAACTGCATTATTTTTGCTCCTCATGCATTAGCAGTCACTTGACACGAGAAACCCTTCTTGGACGTGACAATATATAATGGTACATGGTAAATGTGGAAGAAAACAAGTTCTCAGTGAAGCTACAATTGCATCAATTGTTCCGTTTAATTGTCTTACTGCAAATTTATTTGGCATCATCTGAAGGACTGCTGAATTTCTTCCAGTGTTTTCCCTTTGGTTTCTGGAACCCAAAGCCTCACGAAAACCACCGTAAAAGCTGATATCAGTGCATAAATAGTGAATGATCCTGCCAAATACACAAGTCTTTAGATATACTCCTACCATGGTGCAGAGAGAGAGAGAGAGAGAGAGAGAGAGAGAGAACCTCCTTTACTCCAAGTCAAAAGCAAATTTGCTGTCATTGTAACAAGCCATGCTGAAAACCAATTGGCCAGCGTTGCGACACTGCCACCCAGACTTTTGATGCTCACTGGCAGAATCTGCACAACTCAAAAGAAGGTAAACAGAATAAACTTCCTATAGTCATACAAACTTAGTATCTATTAGAGTAGTTGAGGCTCTTGAATCCTAAAAAGGAAGACTCATAAAACCTATGCTAGCATCCTTGAAGGATATCTCAAATTCAATAAGAATATATTTAGGAAGAAAATCTGAACCAAAAGCTTGTAAGGATAGCACATAAAGCGTGTCAATGATGCTTGAACTTCCTATAACACTAACATCATCACCAGATCTTTATTGCTAGTTTTGCTTAAAATATCTCAACTACAGTCTCCTGAGAATGTTACAGAGTGTGAATAGGCATTTTTTATTTAAGCTCTATCTTTAACCGTATTTAGGAAAATATATCTTTTCTGGCCTCATGAACTACAAATTAGCTTTACTATACCTCAGACATTATGATCCAAGGGATGGAGCCCAATCCTACACCAAATGCCATCACCAAGACCTGGATAATTAATAGGTAAATGGTCTCAGGAATGACAGAATGTAACGACAAATAACAGATGAGAGCAGGGTATAGTAGCGTGGGCACAATAGAAGGTGAGGCAGGAACTTACCACAAGGCCCACCAGAGACAATACTGCAAGGAAGGGATGCCAATTTTCAGGCGTAAAACCCTGGGTTAAGTAGAAAAGAATAGTGGAGTGACAATAAAGAGAGTCAATCCCAACACCAATAAAGAAATCTCATTAAATTCAGATAATAGCTTGATCAATTCTTACAAATGTAAATTTAACTAACTGACCTTCAGGTAGAATGCCATTGCCACAAGGAAGCTGCTAAGGGTCATTACGGATGAGGATACCTGAAGAAAGAGTATAGAAAAGTTATCATTTGCTTTCTTTTTCAGCAAATAGAAACTTCTACGTGAAATTCTGGAAGACTCACAATAAGGAGTAGCCTGCGTCCCGCCTTGTCCACCAGTGATGCAGAGATACCAGTCACAATGACCTATAAAAGATGTACATTAAATTTGAACAATATATGCATATAAGCTAACATTAGATCCAAGGAAGGGGACCTACCTGAATAGCCCCGATACCAAATGTTGCAGCTTTATTTGATGAAATTCCTGCATATTTGAAGAGCATTCAATTAAAATCATATATTGAACCAGTTGTAACATTCCATAACCTCTCTACGATTAGGTGATACTATGCATACAATCTAATTCTGATACACCTGGAATTAATTTGGCAAATGAAAGAATAGGCTCGTTATACTTTCTAAGAGTGGACAACTGCACATCATGAAGATTAAGATCACAGTTTGTAGTAACTTGTCTATTCTACCTGATTCTACCACAAAAAGTCTCCTGGAATGGGCCCTTAATTCTCCAATTTATCATCTCTTTAGGACAGTGTTATGAACAATTATGTTCTGGATGGACATCATGTTACAACGCGGTTGGGTTATGTATGAATATAAAATATCTACCTGGTATTTGGTAAAGTTTTTTGCCAAATACACACCCAAAGGAACTGTGGTGTATGTGGATCTGGATGGTGGCATATTACCTTAGGGAACTGTGGTGTATGTGAATCTGGATAATGGCATATTACCTTAGATTGAGAGATAATTACAGATGACACTTCATACTTTTTAGCTATTAAAAAGAAATAACTGAATGAGGATTGTGGGACGTATAACATAGGAAGCATTTCTCAGGAACCGATAAAGCGAAATGAAAAGTGCACAAGGCATGGCATATTTGAATAGTCACTCATTAACTAACAGAGTTCCATATCAGTTTTCATCAACCAGATTTGCCAGGCATATGGTTAAGCTAAAGCAAGAAGCGGCTTGCTTTTAAGGTTCCCGATAAAGAGATAAATGATATTGGAAGGAATTCCAAAAAGGAATAAATATTAAAACTCCATTTTCACAAACATACAAAAGAAATTCAGCACAACTGAAAAAATAAGCTGTATATCATAGTATTAGTCATCTTATTGCTTGCTTTCTAGAGTACCTTAAAAATGTGGCTTGATTGTTATGAATCATATTTAGGATTTCTTTGCAGTTAATAGGTTTAAAAATTTTATTATAATAAGTTAATAGTTCAAAATTTGTCTTTTGAGATAGATTGTGGTACTGCAAATTCTCTTCGGCTTCATTTAGCATCACATTTGTAAAGCTGGTTATTGGCTCCAATTACAGTTCTCAGTAGCTGTCTAGTTTCCTTATTTCTTCCAGATTGCTGAAACATGGCTATTAAACAAGAGGGAACAAAAACTACAAGAAAGATACACATATTTATCTTCCATCCCCTCTCCCACAAAACGGAGTCCTCCTCATCCCACTCTATTGCAAGATGTTATCTAGGATGCAGAGGAAACAATTCATTGGTTTTTTTTTTTTTTTTTTTTTTTTTTTTTTTTTTTTTTTTTTTTTTTTTTTTTTTTTTTTTTTTTTTTTTTTTTTTTTTTGCAAAACAAATTCCTTTTCCCATTTCTGATATCCAGATTATTACTTTTCTTACCGTTTATATCAACAGTAAATAACAAAAAGAATGGCACAATTGTATTTGCTTCCTCCTCCCTTCGAGCTAGCTTTTGGGGTGTGAGTTAGGCCCAAGGCTTATATTTAACATGGTATCAGAGCCAGGCCCGTGGTCGATGTGGGCCCCCAAAAGAGGGGGCAGAATGCCCCCGGACCAATTGAAGGGCAGGTGAAAATAACCCCGGTCCATGATTGTGCATGCTCCACACCGGACAGTGGAACCCCGAATAAAGAATGTCCGGATCTGGGCGTGAGGGGGATTGATGAATGGAGTGAATCCCACATCGGACCGGGATGAGATCGGCTTGGGCAATCCTCCTCCCTTCGAGCTAGCTTTTGGGGTGTGAGTTAGGGCCAAGGCTTATATTTAACTCTAATCATTTGATGATCCTGGTATGCATTTCTACAGATAATGAAGGAACTGAACTGACCAGCAGATTTGAAAATGTTACTGGAATAGAATAGAACGCCATTAACGCCACTGAGTTGCTGGAGTGCGAGTAGTCCAATACCTACCTGAATAAAATCACCCCATAGAGTGAGCCTTGACATATAAACCAGCATATTTAGAAACTTAGAATTCAACACAAATGTGTACCAGCAAAGGATAGTAATATCGCCGTCTCTTAAGCTCGGAAAATCGAATGGTAACTTTTTTAGTTGACGATCTCACAGATTTCTAGACAAATGACAGGAGAAACAAATGAGCATAAACACATTGTAGTAATTTAGTTGCAAGAAGCTTCTACAGTGCAATTTGAGGGTTCAAAATAGTTGAGAAACCAGCATTAAACATGTTCAATATATTACCTTGATCTCATTCACTTCTGAGGATATATCTGTGTCAAATCCTCGTAGAACTTGCAAAGAGGTCTCAAAATCTTCATTCAGCCCGTTTTTAGCCTACATAATACGGTGTTGCAATCAGTACAGCATAACAATGAAAATGTAGTCATGACAAACATAAGTTTGGAACTCATACCAACCAACGAGGAGATTCAGGTATAAAAAATAGACCAGGTATCAAAATCATGCATGGCAACATTCCTGCATAGTGGAATTATAAGTTGAAAAAAGTTAACTGATGTAAAGGTTAATAAATATGTTCGAATCAAGGATACGAGTGACTTCACATTAAGTTCAACAGTCCAAACAGAAGAATGGAAATTCTATTTGATACACAGAAAAGCATCAGCTCATTCAATATTTTTAAGTTGCTTCAATGAACTTGCAGATGAAGAACAACTTCATATAGTTCTCAAAGGAGTGATTTTAGACAGAAGGACAACTTATTTCAGCAAGATGAATGTCATCAAATGCTAACTTGATAAACTATTTCCAACTAATTCTACCACCGTAAGAACAGAAAAATTAAATAAGACAACAATCAATTTGTCAACCACCAAATGGTTAGGGAAACATATTGCTCACCTAAAACTGCAAGAACTCTCCAGCTTACAAATAATCCCAATAGATATACCAGCATTATCCCCACTGTTACAGAGAGCTAATTCCAAGAGATCAAATGATTAGCCATGATTAAAAACCATAAAACTTAGATGACAGAATGACCAGGTATAAGTGTAAAGCCAACACAAAACCAACCTGGTTAATGGATCCAAGAACTCCCCTCATGTTTTTAGGTGAAATCTCTGCTATATATACAGGCACCTGGAGATAACAAGCAAGAAGATTCCAGCAAGCAGGACTATTTCATAACTTCAACAAGAACAATACAGAAGCTAAACACTTAAGATTACCACATAGGAAATAATGCCGACACCGAAACCTTCCAACAACCTTCCCATATATAAAAATGAGACATCCTGTTAAAATTGAACAAAGAGCACATACTTTCAAGTTAATTACTACCTATAAAAGATGCAGATGCAACCAGAAGATGCACGATATAACAACTAATCACTTACAGTGGCAAATGAAACAGCGAGCCATCCAATAATATTAGGAATTGATGCAATCATTAGTGTCTGCATTTCAGAAAGAAGACGGATAACTGGAAAAAGTTACTAAGGAACCAGTGGAAAGATAAAAGAAAATATTGTCATAGCATCAAACTTCTGTTGAGGCGAGTTTTAGTGTAAGGGTAGAGTTGCTCCATTGGTGACATGTAGCTCACAAATTTGATGTGTGAGAACAATTTATTTGCAGAAATACATTGTGCATAGAGTAAGCCCTTTATCAAATTTTCTATATTAATCATTAAGAAACAAGACTTTATTGTCGAAAGTGTCTTAAAATTTTACCCCTTTTCGTCCAATATATTCTGATATTTGACCGCTTGCAATTGCGCCAACCATTGCTCCAACATTTGCTAAAGATCCAAACACCGAAAACTGTTTATGAAAAAGGAGCGGTATGTTTAACAAACATCAGTAAAATTATCAATAAAACCGGCTACCTATGAACTTTTTAAAGAAAAGGACGGCATAGCACACAGTTTTGATCGTATCACTAATTCTAATTCTAATTCTTTCAGTTTAGAACTTGTAGCTTAGCTAAACGAGAAACCACCTTATGTTGGTTTTGTACAAAAAACAAAAGTGGAAAAAGTACTAATTAGAAGGAAAAAAAAAAAAGGCGGTAAAGAAAGAAAACCCAAACCTCTGAAATGGTAAGTCCAAGATCGCTGGTGATTTCGGACTGCGTAGGATTAGAGTAGCCACACTGCAAAATTACAAAACCAACCACAATAATTAATCATTAAAAGACGGAATGCAAATGCAAGATGGTCAGGGGCGATTAATGGTAATAATTTTGTTTCATATATATAAATACTTCAAGTCGAAAGCAAATTATTAATCTCGAAAGATGGTGAAGAAATTATAATACAGTGAAGCCAAGTTGAACGGGGCCTAATGCAACGATGAGGACACAGAGATAAATGGAGATGGATTCGCGGAGGATTTGGGCGGAGGAGCCCATCATACTGGACTGCCTGGAGCTCATACGATACCAGCTTCCAGTGTGCAGCAACGGCTTCCGAAGCCCATCTTCGGCGCTGGTATCATCTCGGAAACTCATCGTCGTTCCACCTTCCTTCTTTTCTCTTTCCCTTTCCCTTTCCCTTTTCCTTTCCCTTTCGGATGAAGGTGTAAGATCAAAGGAGGACAAAGGGGATTCATGAAGTTGGCAATGGCGTATATATCGCAACTGACTCTAAAATAACGGTGAACCATTCCAGCGGCAATTGAAGCGGGATGGACACCGTTCTTATTTATAACTTCCTTTTTGTTTATGGTTTGAAATCTATGTCGTTTTACCGTGAAATTTAATTTAATTTAATTTTATCATGATTAAGTGATAAACAGTAGTTTTTGGTGATAAGAGCACTTAAGACTAATAATCTCCAAGGAAGATAAATTAAGGTTCTTATTTTACATTGACCAATAATATTCCGCTCTAATTGAATAAGCCAAAAAAGAAAAAGAATTTACTTGTTTTCGCAAGTTACACCACATGCTAATTGGAACAAATATTTTGATAATGGTACAACTAAATTATATGATGTTTATTATCACCATAAAACACAAACCTACTGGAAATTGCTTTAGGATGAATGTGAATTGTGAGAATATCTTTATATTCATATTTATGAAAGTAGTTTGGATTTTTTTTTTGGGGGGGGGGTTATATCTCTTTTATAGTACGTTTTTGTACTTCAATTATGTTATAGTTCGCAATTATACACAATCAACTATTTTCATCTTTTGTCCTCGAATTAAAATTGGTGTAACCTTTTTTCATTTGGTTAAAATTAATTTTCTTGTTTACCATTATGTGCTTTACATTTAAATTCTTATTGTTATAGAATTCAACGCGACAAAGTAATGTTATTCCAACAGTTTCAATTTTGTTGTTCTTCTAATATATCAATTATTTAACTTGATGATTTCCTTGTTTTCTATATTGCAACAACACATAATTTACATTTGAATATGAGGAACGTTGGCTACGGTTGCAAATACTCCACGTTACTGTAACCTTCTTTTTATAACTTCATACATACCAAGAAGCTATTATTGAATAAAAGTAGCATTTTGTAGTTAACTTGCACAAACTTGATTAATATATGTCTTCCTTAGAGAGTCTAGATCATTGCCAAGCTATTCATGGTGTACATATGCATAGAAGCAACAGTCAATTTTGATTGATACATTAATAGTTGCTGCAATAAAAGAGTTAATTAATTATAAATTTTGGTTGCATGTACAAGTAACTTTTGGTTGATTTAAAATTACGACTCCTTTTATTTGTCAATTTAGCAAAAGAAAGTTAGTTGAACTCTACAAATATAATTGTATTCGAAAGTTAATACGATAATCACATGTCAAATTTTAGTAGTTTGGTGTTTTAATACTTTATGAGGTAACTATCTATTAAATCAAAAAATAATATCTTCTAATTTCTAAATTTAACTTTTAAACCAGAAAGTATTTAATGAACGAAAAAGATATGCTTAACTTTACAGCATAATCAACAAAAAGATTCCAAGTGGCAAAGGTAACAATTTCTCAACCTCCCTATCTAGAAGGCAAAACAAAATCTAGCTCCACATAATTTGGATATGAATCCTTTGCTTCTCTATGTTATCATATTATAACAAAAATAAGGCTACTTGGGCTGCAAACTTCAATCCTTAATAAAAGCATTTTTTTTGTTTCATTTTTTTCAAACCTTCAAAAAAAAAATTTATATACTACATTGTAACGACCCGACTTGTCGTTTTAAGAATTAACGCCCCGTTCAGTGACTTAAAGTCTCGAGCAATTTCGCAATATGTATTATGACCCCACGGGTATGGTCGAGTTTGATTTACTGAAGATTCGAATTAAATTAAAAGAACAATCCTTATTTAGAAACATAAATGGAAAGAGTTGACTGGAGAGTTGACTTTTGAATAAACGACCTCGGATTCAAATTCTGATGGTTTCAATAGCTCCGTATGGTGATTTTGGATGTAGCAGCATGTCCGAAAAATTATTTGGAAGTCCGTAGTAGAATTTGGCTTCAAATGGCGAAAATAGAATTTATGGGAAGTTTGACCGGAAAGTTGACTTTTTGATATCGGGGTCGGAATCCAGTTCTGAAAATTTGTATAGGTCTGTTATGTCATTTATGACTTGTGTGCAAAATTTGAGGTCAATCGGACGTGATTTGATAGGTTTCAGCATTAAATGTAAAAGTTAGATTTTTTTAGTTTCATTAAGCATGAATTGAGGTATGATTCGTGATTCTAGCATTGTTTGATGTAATTTGAAGTTTTTACTAAGTTCGTATGATATTTTAGGACTTGTTGGTATGATTTGACGGGTCCCGATGGGTTTAAGTATATTTTTGGATCATTGGTTGAGAGACTAGTAAAGTTAAGAAATTTGGGAGTTTGACCATGGTCAATATCGGGTCAAGACGACCTTATTTCAGTATTTTGAGTAGGCGAGCAGGTCCGTAGCATATTTTATGATTGAAATTCATATATGGTTTATGTCCTGGAGGTTCCGGATGAGTTCCAGGATGGTTTCACACCATTTCGAATAAGTTTGAGTTTGCTGGTTTCTAGTGACGTACTGATCATTCACAATTGCGAACCAGTTATGGCAATTACAAAATAACTGTTCATTTATGGAAATTTCAAACCATTTATGGCAATTGCAAAAACACTGTTCATTTATGACAATTGCGAACCATTTATGGCAATTGCGAAAACACTATTCATTTATGGCAATTGCGAACCATTTATGGCAATTGAGAAAACATTGTTCATTCGCAATTGCAAACCATTTATCTCAATTGCGAAAACACTGTTCATTCACAATTGCGAACCATTTATCGCAATTGCGAAAACACTATTCATTTATGGCAATTGCGAACCATTTATCGCAATTGCGAAAACACTATTCATTCGCAAATGCGAAATTTTTGCCGCAAATATGAACCTGGGCAGAAACTTAAGGATTGAAAATCTGTCATTTCTTTATTTTTGATTGGGATTATTGGAGCTCGATTTTTGGGCGATTTTGAGGATTTTTTCACAATTTTGACTAGGGTAAGTGTTCTATCTCCTAAAGTGATTATATTTCATGAATCTATGGTTATATTCATCGTTTAACTCGAATTTAAATGGAGAAAATCAAGATTTTTGTAAAATCTTCTAAAAACGAAAATTTAATATTTGGAGGTCGAGTTGTTATTGGAATTCGATAAAATTGGTATGGTTGAACTCGTATCGAAATGTGTGTTCGGATTTTATAAAAATTATGTCGGGTTTCGAGAGGCGAGCCCTGCGTTGACTTTTGGAATAAATTTTTAGGTCGACGTATTATTATCCGGAATTATTTTTGATGAATTTTAATGAAGTTATACAATTAATTTGGATAGATTTGAGCGGTCCGGAGGTCAATTCAAGCAAGATGGCAATTTTGGAATACCGGCATAACTTTAAAAAGGTAAGTGTCTTGCTTAACCTCGAGTGGGGGAATTACCCCTTAGGCATTGAGTCTTATGTTCCATTTGTGAAATGTAAAAAGCCGTGTACGCGAGGTGACGAGTACGTACTCGGACTTATATGTGTAAAATATATTGGGTTAAAGTCTTAGGCATATTGTGTAGTAAATTGGATATTGGTCGATATTTATTTAATCATTTGTTTGCCATGCTTCAATTCGCATTTATTGAATTTATTTTTGTATGACAATTTGAGGAGATTATTACTTGTATAATTATGTGAATTCTATGAATTTGATGATTTGATATTTCTTGAAATTTAATTTTATTATGAATTTTTTCTCTGCAAATAATAAATTAAATGAGCTTAAAAAAGGTTTTTATATAATTATTGAGAATTTGGATTAATGATCTCTGTTGATTGTTTTTGAGGTCTTATACACATTGTGTGGAGCCTTCGGCTATTTGTTGTGAAATTAATTAAATTATTATATCTTTGGAATTGTGGTGGCCATTGGGCAAATTGTGTTATGAATTGATTTTTGTTATGTTGCCGTGATAATATTCTGTGTAAATTGTTGAGTTATTATTTTGAGGATATAAGGGTGGCATTTCACTGTTGATATTATGTGGGTATAAGGGTGGCATTTCACTGTTATTGTGTGTGTTGGGATATTGTCTGGGTGGAGCGATAAAGGTGGCTATAGGAGTGATAAGGGTGGCTATGTGAGCGACAAGGGTGACTATAGGAGAGATACGGGTGGCTATATGAATGATAAGGGTGGCTATTATTATCAGGGCAGCGGGATAATGAAGGCTATTATAGGAGTGATAAGGGTGGCTATAGGAGAGATAAGGGTGGCTATTGTCAGGGATGATATGTGATGATGTGGAGTGGTTGCATTGGTAATTTTCACGTGATTTTGTGATTTTCTTGTGTTTATTTTTATACCTTGTGCAATTTGTCTTGTTGTTGGTAAGTTGATAATAGTCTGATTTATGTTAAAATTTGGAGCTTGTGGCTATTGCCAGGCGGATTATAAAATAAAATGTGGGCCCGAGGTGCCGTGAGTAAATAATGATGATATTGGCACGAGGTGCCGGAAAAAAATATAATGGTTTATTTATTGGCACGTAAATTGTCCGTGCAGTTGTAATATAAAAAGTGGGCACGAGGTGCCAGGGTAATATAATAATTTAATTATGGGCACGAAGTGCCGTGGAGATATGAAAGAGGGCTGAGACCCGTGTTTATGAAAAATATGAAAATGGGCTGAGACCCGTGTTTATGAAAAATATGAAAATGGGCTGAGACCCGTGTTTATGAAAAATATGAAAATGGGCTGAGACCCGTAGTTGTATGTCTATGAAATGAAGTGTCACATGGTGACTTTTTAATTGAAAGAATTATATTCAAAATATTTATTTGGAAGGATCTTTACTCAAAAAGATTTATTTGAAAGAATTACATTCGAAAGGTATTTATTTGAAGAAATTATATTTGAGAGAGATTTATTTAAATGAAGCATATTTGAAAGATATTTATTTGAAGGAATTATATTTGAAAAGGATTTATTTGAAAGAATTATATGTGAAAAATATTTAATTGAAGGACTTGAGTTAATTGGGTGTACTTATATTTATTAATCGTTGAACGATATTAATGGTATTTTTGTTGCCCTGCTATGCATTTCACTGGTTGATTTGTGTTGTCCTTA